TGACCTCTGGTTTCATCTATGCTGCTACAAATAACAAAACTTCATTCTTTTTATGGGTGTATGAAGTTCCACTGAGTACACATACCACATTTTCTTCATCCTTCATCCACTGATGAGCATCTCAGTTGATCCATATTTTAACTATTGTGAATCACAGCAAAGGAAACATAGGAGTGCATGTTTTTTTGTGTGATGATTTCATTTCCTTGGAATATATGCACATTAATCGAATTGCTGGATCATATGGTAATTATATTTTTAGTTTTTCCAATAAGTATCCATACTGTTTTTCATAATGGCTACGCTAATTGATATTCCCACCAATAGCATATACAAGTTTCTCTTTCTCTGCATCCTTCCCAGGATATGTGATTTTATTTATTTTTTTTTCTTTTTGATGATTGCCATTCTAATGGGGATGATATGAGATCTTACTGTAGTTCTGTTTTGTATTTTTTCATATACTTGTTGATCACATGTATGTGTATATGTCTTCTTTTCAGAAGTATTTAGTTATGTAGCACATTTATAAATTAGATTATTTGCTTTAAGGGTTTTTGAAGGGGTTTCTTTTGGCTTTTGGTTCTAGTGAACTTTTTATTTGTTTTTGTTTTTTTGTGTTGAGCTTTTACAGTTCTTTATATATTCTGGATATCAATTCCTTGCTGAATGAATAGTTTACAAAAATTTTTATTCCATTATGTAGGTGATCTCTTAATCTGTTATTTTCTTTTCTGTGTGGAAGCTTCTTAAGCTTCTTATAATCCCACTTCTCAATTTTTACTTTAGTTGCCAATGCCACTGGAGTCCTATCTTAAGAGAAAAATGGCCCACACCAATGTCTTTTTTATTTTTTTATTATTCATATGTGCATACAAGGCTTGGGTCATTTCTCCCCCCTGCCCCCACCCCCTCCCTTACCACCCACTCCACCCCCTCCCTCTCCCCCCAACCCCCTCAATACCCAGCAGAAACTATTTTGCCCTTATTTTTAATTTTGTTGTAGAGAGAGTATAAGCAATAATAGGAAGGAACAAGGGTTTTTGCTGGTTGAGATAAGGATAGCTATACAGGGAGTTGACTCACATTAATTTCCTGTGCGTGTGTGCTACCTTCTAGATTAATTCTTTTTGATCTCACCTTTTCTCTAGTTCCTGGTCTCCTTTTCTATCGGCCTCAGTTGCTTTTAAGGTATCTGCTTTAGTTTCTCTGCGTTAAGGGGAACAAATGCTAGCTAATTTTTTAGGTGTCTTACCTATCCTCACCCCTCCCTTGTGTGCTAAAGCTTTTATCATGTGCTCAAAGTCCAATCCCATTGTTGTGTTTGCCCTTGATCTAATGTCCACATATGAGGGAGAACATACGATTTTTGGTCTTTTGGGCCAGGCTAACCTCACTCAGAATGATGTTCTCCAATTCCATCCATTTACCAGCGAATGATAACATTTCGTTCTTCTTCATGGCTGCATAAAATGCCATTGTGTATAGATACCACATTTTCTTAATCCATTCATCGGTGGTGGGACATCTTGGCTGTTTCCATAACCTGGCTATTGTGAATAGTGCTGCAACAAACATGGGTGTGCAGGTGCCTCTGGAGTAACCTGTGTCACAGTCTTTTGGGTATATCCCCAAGACCACACCAATGTCTTGAAGTGTTTCCCCTATGTTCTCTTGTAGTAATTTCATACTTTGCAGGGTAACATCTAGGTTTTTGATCCACTTTGAATTGATTTTTGTGTATGGTTAGAGGAAGAGATCTAGTTTTGTTCTTTGCACATAAATATCCAATGTTTCCAGCACCATTTATTGAAGAGACTATTTTTTCTCCATTTGTTAAAAATCAGTTGGGTATCTGAACATGGATTATTTCTGGGTTCACTATTCAATATCATAGGTCTTTGTGTCTGTTTCATGCTAGTATTGTGCTATTTTAGCAACGACAGCTTTGTTGTATGTTTTGAAGTCAGGTACTACATCAGCAGGCTCAGGGTAGCTTTGGCTACTCTGAGTCTTTGCAGTTACATATGAATTTTAGGATTTTTTTTTCAATTTCTATGAAGAAACTTGCTGATATTTTGAAGGGAACTGAAATGAACCTACAGATTGCTTTGGGAAGTATGGTCATTTTAGCAATATTCATCTGAACATAGGGTATCTCTACATATTCATCATGAACATAGGGTATCTCTACATTTTTTGTGTCCTCTATACTTTCTTTCATCAGTGTTTTGCAAGTTTCATTGTAAAGATCTTTTACTTTGGTTAAATTTGGTTAATTTTTGGTTAAATTTCATTCTAATCTTTTTGTAGCTCTTATGAATGGAATTGCTTTCAAATTTCTTTTTCAACAAATTTGTTATTGGTGGATAAAAATGCTTTTTTGTATGCTGGTTTTGTATCCCTGTAACTTTACTGAATTCAATTATAAGTGTTAATAGTTTTTGAGGGAGTACTTAGGTTTTTGTAAGTTTAAAAATCATGTCATCTGTAAACATGGATAATTTAACTTCTTTCAATTTGGATGGCCTTTATTTCTTTCTCTTGCCTAATTGTTCTTACTAAGACTTCCAGTATTAGATTAAGTAAGAGTAGCAGAAGTAAACATCCTTGTCTTGTTCCTAATTTTATAGGAAATGCTTTCAGCTTTTCCTCATTCAGTGTGATATTCGCTGTGATTTTCATACATAGCCTTTAGTACTTGAGATGTGTTCCTTATACTTAACTTGTTTAGTTTTCATCATGAAAAGGTGTTAAATCTTCTCTAACACTTTTCCTTCATCTATGTTTTTGTTTCATTTTGTTGATGTGTTATGTTACAGTTACTGATTTTCTTATGCTGAACCACTTTTGTGTCTCTGGGATGATTCCCACTTGATCATGATGTGTGATTTTCTGATGTTTAATTTGCTGCTCAGTTTGCTAGTATTTTCTTGAGAATTTTTGCATGTATACTCATTGGGGATATGGGTCTGAACCATGACCCAAAATATAATCTCCTTTCATTATAATTACCTAGCTTCAGGTATTCTGTTATAACTACTAAAAATGCACTAAGACGAACATCTTACCTCAGTGCTTATTTAAACCACTGACTAACAATGAGTAAATAAGGAAATCTCTAAGTTTATTTTATAATCCCATTCTAAGGGACTTCAAATAAAGAACCAGTATTAAATTCCAGAAGTTCATTAGCATTTATTCTATCTGAAACAATCAGTTTGGTAAAATGGTTCCACAGTTCTACAAAACCAAGTTGCTACTTGAAATGATTCAGCTGCAACGCATCTACAATGTGGAAACGTAGTGAACCATTTGCAAAAGCAATGTTTCCTAGAGATGTCACCAGATTAACTAACAAAAGACACAATTCAAATTGTAGAGTATATCCAAACTACCAAGAAAAAACTATAATCAGATGTCAGGCATTTCGTTGATTCTCATGATAGGTTCACTTTTCTGTCATTAATAACATTTTAAGAGTAAGCCTTGAAATGCAAGTCATTTTTGCTGAAAAATATCTGCAAGTACTACTGAGGCATGTTATGAAGTTGTTTCTAATACCACAATCAAAAGCCAAACCAATTCTGATGTCATCAGTTACCCACATCAGGGATTTGAAATTTCATATTCTGCTGAGGTAACATCCAAAACTTTCATCTTAATAGTGAAAACTGCTGACAGTAATTTGCTTATTACATTACAACTTCCAGCGGGTCTCTAGATACTTAGAAGACAGTTTCCAATCTTCAGTTTATGGTTCTAAAATACATACATATGTAAATGTGTATATATTTAAACTCTATTAAACCATATTGCTAATACATATTTTTTCAGCTGTCTGAAAAAATAATTCGAGATTGGTTTGCTATTACTTTCTACACAATGAACACTCATGCATGTGTGTGTGTGCATGTATAAGAAAAATGAGGTTAAAACAGGTACATGGATGGAACTGGAGAACCTCATTTTAAGCGAAGTTAGTAAGGCTCAGAAGACCAAAAATTGCATGTTCTCCTTCATATGCAGATTATAGACCTAAAACAAATGCAGTAATATTATTGGACATGGGTCACACTAAAGGGAGACTGCACATGGGAGGGATAGGAAAGGGAAGAAAACCAAAAACTTGAATGTGGTTGATGTGCTCACTGCATAGGAACGAGTATAGAAAACTTAAACTGGCAGAGGCCACTATGGGAAGGGGACTAGGGAGTAGTCAAGAGGTATGGTACAGATAAGCCAGTTGGATTGTAATATCCATATGCATGGAAACAACACAAGGAATCTCCCTATACAGCTTTGTTTATCTCAAACTAGCAAAAGCACCATATTTTTCTTATTATCTTTTATGTTTTTCCTTCAACAAAATCGGAGAACAAGACAGTGGAACAAGTTCTGCCTGGAGGAGGGATTGGAGGGACAGGGGAAGGAAGGTGGCCCAAATAATGTATACACATGTAAGTACGTATAAAAACAATAAAATAAAATTTAAAAAAAGAAAAATGACATTAAAAACACTCTGCTTAACTCTCAATAAAATTTCACCAAGACTAGAAGCATCTCATTCAAAATATATTACTAAAAATGTTATTAAATTTAATTTAAAAATAAAAAGTAAATTATATGTGTGAAAGTACGGCACTTAAATTGGGTAGGAATTTTTAAATCAATTATTAAAATAATTAGATTTTTATAAAAATCCTCATGACTAGAAAATTTAAAGCTATTATAGTATTCAGAGACAATTCTTATGTTCTCCTAAAATAGCCATCATCAATGGCCAGATCAGTCATGACTGGGTAAAGTTACCTACCCAGTAAGTTACCTGATAGAGGTGTTTTAGTCTCCAGCTTAATGGCTTTAGACAACTGAGGATTCCACAAGCATTTTCTCATTCAAAATTAATTCTGGGGGTAAATATCATCACTCTCAGATAGCCAGTGTGGGAGGACAGATTGAAGAAGGATGCTGTAATACAGGTTACAAAGGCACAGTACCTTGCACTGTGAGGAAAATGGAAGCTGCTGCCGATCCACCTTCACTGGAAGCCGTGCAGTGGTACTCTCCAGCATCGCCTACTTTCACACTCCTTAGCTCCAGCGAGAGGTTGGCCAACATCCTGATTCTTGCTGGCTCTGCCAGTCTGACATCTCTGCCGCTCCTCTGCCAGGTTAGATTGTAATCCACGGCACTGATCACAAGACATGTCAAAAGTGCTCTCTCTCCAGAAGTGACTGTAACATTATTAGGCACTTGGATGACGGGTGGAGGCTCTGTGTGAAAGCAAAAGTTTCAAATCAAGACACTTAAAAGCCATTTTTTTCATTTATAAGTGTGTCTGAAAAACTGCCTGAACACATCCTGAATATTTAGGAGGAAAGATGCAGTGTAACAGAGCTTACTGACTAATACCTATGCCAGGAAATTCCCCCTAAATTATCACAAGACACTCAAAAAAAACTAGAGCATATTTTCATGCAAAGTATTCTTAAGTTCAAATCTATAAATTATAATGTGAAAGTCAAAGAGACCTGGTGAAAGGACGTGATTGGATGGATTTGGGATTGTGAAGCGAGGCAAATTTTATTTCAATTTTAATGAAGGTAGCATTTATGGATTTTTTAAATTTAAAAATATTTACTTAGTGTTTTAAAGAAAATAACACACAAAGGATGAGAGACATGGCAAGATATAACAGTATCAGCTTTAAGGTAACAATCTCACGAGGAAGACACAGCAAGACGGTAGAGTAAGGCAAATAAATGTCTTCTTCGTAGGAATGAGGAACAATTTGATCTAAAAAGGTTGAATGAATTGTAGGGACCCACCTTTAATAAAATTGTACACTTAGAACTATGTACACAAAAGGCATTGATAGTGCACACATATTTAATTGCTAATAAAAACTAACTGCTAATTAAATATTTAAACAAAGTGGTTGGGATAGTCATTTTTTGCTCTAGTTCATTTTAAGGATGAATCCAAATTCCTCTTCCATAATTCACTCTGATAAAAACTTCAAAATAATTTCCTTTAGTCACCCATTATAAATAAAGTAGCAATGAAAACTGTGTTGATCATTGCTGTGAAAATCTTTGTCTGTTTTAGTTAAAAAATGAAAGTGTGTCAGATATTCAAGATCTATACGAATGTGCAGATCAATCACAGGCCTCAAATAAAGACTGGAAACAAATATGCCCCCCACATGGCTGTCTACGAGAGACAGAAAAATGTGCATATTTTCTATGTTCTCTGTTACACTGACCCTTCTTTTCCAAAGTTTTTCTAAACAGCATTTGCTGTTTTAAATCATTTTAAAAAACAAACATAAATTTTATCATTGTGCTATGTTTTTTAAATCTCTTATGAAAATACCTAATGGACCCAGTGGGAAGAGTATGATATCATTAGGAAGCTTTGGCTGGAGTCTGGCTAGGGTGGACAGATAAAATACAGGACACTGATAAATTTGAGTTTCAGGTAAATATCAAATAACATTTTAAGTACACTTAAGTCTGTCTCATGCCACACTTGGAACACACTTACATGAAATTTTAAATTTAACAGGGCATCCTGAGTTCTTATTTGCTGAATGTCACAGTCATAGGCTGCCTAGTTCTACCCCTATCTAGCTGTGTGACTTTAGATATGCCGGTTTACTGACAGTTTGCTTCGCTGTATGAACAAAGGAATGATTAAGTGACCTTAAAGACTCCTTCTAACTATAAGGTCCTTCTAACATGTTGAAATTAGGCCACTGTTTAGTCAATCTACAGCCAGTTACTAATTAATGATGGAACAAAAGCCCACCACTCCTGGCTCAATTCAGGACTGTTCCAACCCCCAACCCTGTAGGATCAGGTGAAGCCCTAGGTGCAACCACATCACAGGCTCTGACTTCTACTTGCCTCACTCCATTACAGGTGCTTTTCCCTAGAGACTCCCCAATAACACTCTTGCATGCAAACTATGCCTCAGAGTCTATCAACTCTTCAAATATAAATTGAAATGAGCAACATAACAAATTTCTAGTAATGTATGTGGATGAGTGAGTTTTGAAATAATGATCCAGAATACTAGTCTTGCACAGATGGTTGGAGATAGTAAACATTAGGCACATTAGCATAACTAGCATATTCGTGCACATGTGAATAAATGTGGTAAGGCCAGTGGAGTGATGAGAGAGAAGTGCAGCAGTTTGTGAAGAAAGCTAAGATCACAGACTTCCAGCCATAACCTGTCCTAGAATACCAGTCTCCACCATTCCTAAGTGAAGACATGATTAAGGCTAGCACATGGGGATCAGAGAATGATCTCAGGACTGAAGCAGGAGTATAACACCCATAGGCCTAATGATGTAAAGTTAGGGCCACTGGACAGTCAGTACCTCCCCATCTGATCATAAATGGATCACCTGGTCACTCTGGGTCTCATTTCTTTAGCTTTAAAACAATGAGGTATTGTAAGATTACTTCTAAGTCTTATCTGAGTCTAAAAGAATATCCTGTAATCATAATTTAAGGTTTCCTGTCTCTGGCATGCCCTGGACAAGCATTCTCTATTAAGAATTTTACTTAAACCCAGAACTTTAAAATCGTGATGTGTGTGTGTGTGTGTGTGTGTGTGTGTGGTATTGTGTTAACAAAAAACTAACACAAACATTAACATAACTTTGTAATAGTATTAAACTAAACTACCATGTATCATTCGAAAAGAATAAGTTTTGCATGCTTCTAGAGTTTTATTCATTGTTTTCTATGTACTTAAATTCAGTGAAAGAGACATACAATGTTTCTACACCCATTTTGAATTTTAAAAAAATCAATGACCAACATTTCAAATGCACTAAAAATCCTTAAATATGTCAACTACAATAAATTGCAGAAAGAAAAAATTGAGGTTTTCTTTAAACTGCTCTTGGGTGCCCTTCACTTTATACAACATAATAAAGTTCACAGTGAAACAAGAATTGCTATCCCATAATGCCTTGTTTCCTAATGCTCTTTTACAACATATGAGGTCTGTTTAGCATCCTGATTCCACTATGCTAAGAACTAGCTTGGGGACAGTACAATTTCCCAGTTATGTCCCTGCCTGGCTGGCACACATCAATGCTAGAAGGGCATGTGTAGAATACATAGACAGAAGTTACTGACACCCTAGAACCAAACTCCTAACAGTCAGTTCTGAAGTTCTTACTGACATTCCCACTTATTTATGCAAGAAGTCTGAATCAACTCGCTCAGGCCTCTTTCCCTGATGTCTTTCTCTTAATTAATATTGCTGGGAATAATACTCAATGCTCGAGTGTTTGTTTTCCCAGAAGCTGAGGAATGTTGACACAATTCCAGCGCTTTTCGTAATTTCTGGAGATGAAGAAAATGAATAGTTTGTGATATGTGTCAACTTGCTACATTATTTCAGAGGACACTTTATTTTTCTAAGAATAAGAGAATCTAGATTGTTTTATTGCAAGAACAGTTTGTAAGTCAAGCTGTCTGGCATGCCTCTCTTTCAAAGTTCAGCTTTGAATCCTAGGCTCCTAAATAGTCCTCTAATTAAAAAACTTCTTTTGTCTTGTATTATCTCAAGATACTTCACAAAAATATTAAAAGCAAATACAGACATTGTTATTAATTCTGCAGCAGCAATACTTAGGTCAGAATAGGTTACAATTAAACACCCCACATCATTAGTCTAGTAGGCAGGTAGAAAATAATTCAGTTTCTAATAAATTATAGATAAATGCTGAGTAAGTAGCTTAATCTTGATTATTGATTATTTATAGTAGTGTTTTTCTCCTTAAGAATTCTGAAGAGATCAGGGGAAATTTTTTTTCAGTTTAATGCATTTGCCTTATAAAGTAATATGAACCTTGCCTCCTATCTATGCATTGGAAGCATACTGTCTGAAGGTAAGATATTAGCAGTAATAGTTAGTTTTACCAACTCAAGCGTGTTCCTAGAATATAATCTCTTCCATTATTATCTTCACTTTAGAAGTTGGAATCAATTTGTGAATGCACTCTGTTTCTTATGAATGTGAGAGAAAAGGAAGTTTAACTTTCTTATTATCAGGATAGATCCTTTCCTTAAACTTTAGTTTCTTAAAGGGAAATACCAAAATGTAATATTTCAAAAGGGAAGTATTACATACTCAATTCTCACAGTTTCTTCATGGGATAGAGCCTGCTATTGCTATTTTTCTCATTTCATAGTCAGAGAAAAATGGTGCAAGAAGCTCACATGGCTGGTGTGTGGTAAAGCCAGTATGTGAGTACAAAATCCAGTGGGGACAATTACAAAACAATTATAAAGACAACTGTATAAATGCAAACTGGTTGCCAACAACGTATTTCCACAGGTGCATTAATATTCATGTAACTATTAACAAACTTAGTGATAATTACCTGATACATCAAAAAACGTCTGTGCCCGTCCAGTACCTGCACTGCTGACAGCAGTGCATTCGTAGGAGCCTTCGTCAGACAAAGTGACCTTTTCAATATCCCAGTTCACACTGGCAGATTCTCTGAGGGTAAGAAAATGGGACAAAAATTAGTTGCTATAAAAAAAGAGACAAAGTTGGAAACAATGATCCCACTATTTCTTCTTGAAAGAGTCATTCAAAAGAAAAATGTGAAGAAGATAAATTGATGAAACTGCAGAGAAATTTTTAACTTTAAATTGAACACATTTTTCATTTTAACTAGACAGCTAAGATAGTCTACTCTGAGAAAAAGGCACAACAAAGATAACGTATTATGAAGACTCCAAATTTCTTAGGGAAATAATTTTCTGGCTGTGTCAACATATGAGAAAACAGAGCTAAAAAAAAAAAAAAACAGAACAAAACACTCCTTAAATCTCTTTCCTTCCCTTGTCTCTTTCCAGTTTTTGGCCAGGGATCTTAGACAAAGCAAACAAATCAGGTACTTTACAAATATGAAGGTAGATAATCAAGTTTTTAATTCTAAGAAGATAAATTCAGCTGGGTGCTGTGGCTCAAGCCTGCAATCCTAACTAATCAGGAGGCAAAAATCAGGAAGATCACAGTTCTAAGCCGGCCGAGCAAATAGTTCCATGAAACCCTATCTCAAAAGACCCTTCACAAAAATAGGGCTGGTGGAGTGATTCAAGATGAAGGCCCCAAATTCAAGCCACAGCACCTCAAAAAAAAAGAAAAAGAGGATAAATTCATCTTAACTTTCTTATACATAAACTCCACATGGAGCTGTGTAATATAATAGTTCAACCTAAATGTACAATGAGAAAAAAAATCCTCTGCTATATTATGCATTTGTACATTTATTTAATACTTACTCTTTTTCCTCTAATACTGTTCAAATTATTCCTCATTTTCTGGAAATGTCTTAGTAATAGATATTTAATCTTTGAATTTTTTTTCTTTTGGTGGTACTGGGCATGGTACTCTAGCCACACCCTCAGCCCTTTAATCTTTGTTTAAAAAAAAAAAGATTACAAATCTAGAAATATAGGCATTATTGTGCTTTAAAAATATAACTGAAATATCATAAATATTTTCATACACTTCCTCCTTTATAATCTGTGGCTACTCATAACCTTTTTCTAAAAAATTCAAAATTCAAGCAGAATCAAGGTACTTCCGTGGAAATGTGAAAGCAGCTTAAGAGATGAAGCTTCCTGGGGATAGCTCCACCTCCCTTCCCACACCATGCCTATCATCAAACAACTACAAAGACTTACTGAGCTCTTAACTTCGTATTTAGCACTGACCCAGAGTTTGTAAGAGGAAGGTAAGGCCTAAGTTCCCATCATCAGAAAGTGAAAAGCTAGGCATGGTCTCTGTTCCATTTATTACAGTAGCTAACAACAGTCACTGTGGTTAGTTGTCTCAAGTCAATTCTGCATGCACTGTGTGCTAGTGAGCCTTCTTGTCAAATCTGAAGGAAATGGAATGTCCCTTAACTCTGATCACCTAATCTGTGTCTCGAATGCTAGGCACCAGTTTATAAGTGTCACAACCTAGGACACCCTGTAAGTTCCAGAAAGGCAGGAATTTGAAACACAAACGTCTTTGGTGTTCTCTGAAGTGTCTACTCCGAACTGAGCATATGTTGGGATTCATCAAAAACTTAGGCTCATGGAAACTTTAGAACAGAAAGTGAAAATTATTCTAGTCTCAAATCCCTTATTTTAAAAACAGGGAGGTTGAATGACAAGTCATTTGTTGAGAGACACATAACCAGTTTGCTAATTGCTTGAGGAATACTTTTATCAGGTCTACTTCGTGTCCTCTTGTTTATGAAAATAAATTTCTTGTTAATGCAACCTTTTCAGCACTATATGGCCACAATTTTTAAAAAGTTTCTAAGGGACAGACTTTGGGACAGGGAAAAGAACATGTCCAGTAGAAATGTGTCCCATTGTTAATCCATGCTAACGTTCCCTCACATCCCCTGAAGACCAAAGTGACTGACATCAACCAAGATTAAGTCACATGTTTCCCATTATTAGGAAATCTAGGGCAGAGACATGTGAGTGAATCAGGATTAGTGTCCGTCTATCATCACTCATGCTAATTTTGTCTCTAAACTCTCAATCCAAAACGCTTAATGCATGTCAGCAAGGCATGTCATGCCTCTGGACCACAAAGCTGGAAAAATGAGAAAAAGAATTCTTGTGGCTTACCTCCCAGGAATTGTGTAGAATTAATGAATTAATGTTTATAAAGAATCTCAAATGTCTTTGAAAAATGTCACTATTTAAACAGGAAGCAGAATTACTTTATTTCATCAGCCAGTTATGTAGCTTCATCATTTGATACCCTAGTCAGTTATGTTGTTGGTTATAAAATATGCAGCTAAGTAAACCATCAAGATGTGCTCTGCAAGGGGCAAGAGATAATGCAGTTCAATCTTTAAAGAATGGAAAAAGTTCTAGTTATGGCGACCATTCCTGCCACAGGACCCCTATAAAAGGATTGCATAAACTGACTGTAGAATATTAAATATCTTGTATGACAATGAACCAACAGTATAAAAGGTTGGTAAAAGAATTCATAAAACTTTTCCCAAAATGTACTGTTTCAGGTAAGTTTAAAAGGCATCACTCCCCAGAAATCATTTTCCTCCACTTTCTAAGGTCTACTTAATCTTGACATTAGATTACTTATGTTTGTCTCTAAAAGTTACTCAACTTTGCAAGGAAAAGTTGCCCACTCCTGTTGATTGTTCTATGCACACGTGCTTCTGGTCCACCACGTCATCTACTCCAGCGCCAGGGGACCTCCCTGGCCTTGACTTCTACCCTTCTCCTGGCTCACTGGACTGCACACACTTTGCCCTTATTTCTCTCTTTCCACGTACCCATGTGCACACGTGCACATAGTCTTCCTGGTATGTGAGTTCTCTTCCCTGGATATCTGATTAATCAACTCTCTCACCATCCTCACGCCGTTACTCAAATGTCTCTCACCCTAAGCTTTATCATTTCCACTTGTGATTTCAAAGCCACATGCACCCCACCTGACAGCATGATTCTTCCTAATTAACCTGTTCGACTTTCTGCCATAATATGCATTGGGTTCACTTACTGCAACACTTTACACCAGATTCAGAGACACTGTGACCCCAACACTAAAGTCTCAGGGCATCTCCCTTACAAGGTCCCCCTCCAAAGTGTGGTGCCTAACACTGGATTCATAATTCTGTTTTCTTCTATTGGAAAGAGAGTGAAAGAAGGCAAGAGGGAATGGGAATTCCCTCTTGGGAGTGAATTTGTTCAAGGCATACTGTGCACATGTATGGAATTATCACAATGAAATCCCCTAGACTGTTAATGTATGATAAATAAAAAAAATTTTAAATCTGCTTTCTTTATCTTAGCATGGGACCTTCAAATTATATCACATTCAGATTCCATGAAACCTAAGTAAACCCTTGAATGTATTCTAGTATTTATTTTATCATCACATTATATTTATCACCTGTTTTCTGGGTCCCTGAATTACAGTGTGAACTCCACTAGGAAACAAACTTATGCCTGCTTTGGTCAGTGCTATATTCCAAGGTCATGAAGCAAGTAAGTGACATTTGCCAGAGAATAAGTACACAGAGTAAGCATCCATTTGTATTCACGTTTGATGCTATAAATTATTACTGATAGAAACATTTACACACTTGAAGTACTGGTCGACTCCAAGTGTAACTCCATTTCTGAAAAAGCTCACGGTAAAGGGCAAAAGACTGTCAACAGAGCAGAGAATTCGGCCCGGCTGCAGGTAGTATCCTGGTGTTCTCCTGGGCATTGTTACTTTGGGAGCATCTAGGGGGAAAAAAAAAAAAAACAGAGGCAAAAAAGTCACAACAGTATTGACTACTTCCTGAAAATCCATTCACAAGCCCCACACTTAAATTATCCCAGTAAACCCTCTGCATCCCAATGAATCCAAACCACTGAAAATTAAATTAACTTTTCGTTCAAAGCTGGTTTATTTCTGGATAGCTCCAAAGGCTCCTTACTATGCTATTCATCTAATCGAAGTCTCCACTTATTTTTAGGACACACTATTTCTTGTACCACCAACGTAGAAAAAAATTTCACCTAAGTTATAATACCATGTCAACCATAGAATACATTTTTATTTCAAATATGTGAAAATATGAAAAGAACCCATACCTTAGCATCAAATTCATAGGGTAATTTTTTCCCAAAACAAATAAGGAAATTATTTTAAGACTCCAGCAGACTTCACAGCATTCAATTTAAGGGTAAACCAACTCACTTAAACATCATATTAGAGGAAATTTTGAAGTTGGTTCTGTTCTCATCATTCCACAGTGATTAAAAAGTAGCTGTAGAATTGTTAATGAATTTCACAGATCTTAACCAGAAGGTTGAGATTATATATAAGTATAAATGATAACTTGCTGTCTCCCCACCCAATAGGAAAATTTTAGAAATAATCCCTCTGAATCTTTGTAGGTCCATGGTTGAAACTACAGTTCTAAAGTTTTGGCCAGTTTCTTTAGCCTTGAGAACTCGTTCAAGTAGCAATAAAATGAAATGTTGCCTAATGTCCCCAAATAAGCCCTAACCTGTAATCTCATCTTGATATAATAGGATATATAAGTAAGTAGTTTACTGATAGTGTTAACTAAGTAACCAACTAGTAAAGGCAGAATGGTTACCAGTTGTTCACAGTGCAGTACTGCTCATGGAGCAGGTTTCCAACAAATGCATATTAATGCATATCCAATTTAGATTGCTTAATCAAGCCTTTTTAGACAACGAGGGCGGACCAGAATTTCCCAGTTCCAGTTCATACACTTTTGATTAAAGTAGTCACAATTCTTAGATCTTTAATTGGAAAGACTTAATATGAAACTCTGAAAGTGTTATTTAACAGTTAATGAAAACTGAGTTACTTAAGTATGAACGCCCATTAATTTGTTGACAAAGTAATATGAGGATGTTTTCAATTTTATAATCCATTCTTTATCCCTGGGACCACATCTCTACTTTAAGTTTATAAAGTATCCATATTCCTTCCAATGTTGGATAAAATGACACCTCACCTGGTACAACACTAGAAAAGGACACACTTGACACTCTCTGGAAGACATAATCATCTTTGTCATAGCCTGTAACTTTGAGAAAGAAAGCTTCACTTGGTGGTATGAAGTCAGAAATATTCCATATGCCATAAGGTTGCCGATCTGGGTAATATTTAACAGGAATTGTCTTAAGAGAACCTCCTGAGATACTCAGAAGTTCGAGACGATCTACTCTAGCTGGATTAGAAATTCCAGAAGTATTCAGAAGCACATAGGTAGGTACTCCTACAAGAGAAAGACTTTATTACTTACAAGCTACACATGATTATAGTTAAATAAATAAATGATTACATAAATATCAACATTATAGTAACATAAAAGTACCTTAAGGATGAATGCTACAGACTGCCCTACAAATTGTGGGCCAGTTGTAGAATCTTTTCTATGCAAAAAAATAGTTTATGCATGGCCACAAAAACTATGTAATTATCTTATAGTATTTAACTATGTTTATATGGAGAACAATTTGAATTATGGATACTGTACTATATGATGTTTGATTGCACGAATATTTTTAAAGATTCAATACTTTGTAACCTTACACAAACTGAAACAATAAAAATAAACAGTGTCCTGAAAAAAACCCATAGGGTTCACAGTATGATTGAGTTTTTTTTCTAGTTTTAAAGATATAACTATTAATATATGAATAAAATAGGAGAAAGAATAAGCTTTAACAATCAGCAATACTAACATCTTTAAACATACAATGAACAACAGTGCCTTAAGTTTTTGGCCATCTACACACATTTCATCTTTGCAATAAGGCAAATTACAGATTTACAGTAAAAAAAAAAGGCTGAAGATTGGATTAGTAGTTCTCTAAACTTAGTAAGAATAGAATCAGTTGCGATGCTCACTAAAACTCCTATTTCTAGGCCCTACATTCTGTGGTTCTAATTCAGGAGATTGGAGTTGGCCTCAGGAATCTGAATTTTTAACAAGTAATTCCGGTATCACTGGTCTTGGGATTACATTTAGACAAGCAAGAAAAGAGCATCATGTTTAAAGTAAAAATGCTACATCTCTTGATTTTATTGGATACTACCAAGCTATAAAATAACAGACTGAGAAATATTGTTCAGTTATACCACTTTAAGTAGGATGCACATACAAACCTTGCACGGGTCTGCTGACTGTTTTTTTGAAGTCCAGGGTGGGCTTTCGGGAAAAGCCAGCTCGGAAATCAATAGTACTGAGGCCAGTGATGCGAATAGAGTGCCTTCCACTGCTAGAGGTCTGAATATGTTTGACAATAAATCCAGTCAGCATTGAGTTTACAATAAAGCTGATCACAATAAACACTATCAGTATAGCAAACTGCAAATGTTCAATTAAGATCGATGTCCAACAACAGAAGTTCTGAACTGGGTATTCTGAACTTAATTATGAGTCTTTATTTTAAAGTACAAGTCTCTGTTCTAAAATACAATTCAATAATACATTGCATGCCCAATGGTAAAAGATGCATGTGTTCAATTAACAATGTGTGAACATGAAGTAAATCTGTAAGAGCTCCATAAAGGCCTGAACCTCTGCTTTGTTCTCTGATGTTCTCATGGTAGATGCCCAGCCAATACTGATGAAATGAACAGATGATTAAATTTCTCTCACAAATAACATTCAAGTTCAATTCTGGAGGATTTTTCCTTTTTCCTTGCCTCTGGATCTTTCTAGCCAGGACAATTACAAGAGCTATTTTCCAGAATTCAGCTCAGCAGTGTTCTAACAAAGGTACTTGGTGCTGGAGTACAAATGTGAGTAAAACATGGTGCTCACCCACCAAAGTTCATCACTATTGCCAACAGATGGAGAAGGAGGGGTGTTTAATATAATGTAATAAATGGAGGAGAGAAATACACAAAAGAAGTATAGACAAGCCTATTTGGCTAAATCCTTAATAGGGGCGATGATGGCTAGAATAAATATTGAATCACAAAGTAAGTACTAGAGTGACTGGTGTATGCATGAATAATAAATAATTTGGATTGAGGCCACAGGATAAAATAATACTACTCATGTCTACTGGGCACTTCCTCTGTGTTCAGGCTATTTAAATACAGTGGCTTATTAAATCCTCATTACAAGCTTCTAAGGGAGATATCATCACTTTCCTTACTGTACAGGTAAGGAATTTGTGACATTAAGTTGTTAAATAGTTTGTTCAAGCTCACAAGGTTTGCTGACTTACAGAGGTGGGATTTTAATCCAAAGGTCAGGCTCCAGACTCTTCACCACAGGGCTATATTGTCTAGCAAGGTAAGTTAGCAATGACCTCCACCTCAGTTTCTCTCAAAGAAGTATGTGAGGACCACCTACGACTACAAATCACTTGGGTTGTTTGTTAAAAATGCAGATCCTTGTCTTCAGCCCAGATTTATTTATGTGACACCTAACCTCTTATTAACTGAATTCAATTTTAATTGATAGAGCTATTTTTTATTTCTCCCTCTTAAAGAGTTACAATGTTTTATAAGGCAGCAAATATTCCCAAAGGTAAAAACCAAACAAAACAAAAAATAACTTCAGCAATAAATTAAAGATACAATGTATGACTTACATATATTCAAGGTTACCTAATTAACTTATGTGTCAGACATTGTTTAAACACTTTTTTAAATTAGTGTCTCATTCAATCATGACAATATGAAATAGCTATTATTTTCCTTCAGATTTAAGGAGGTAAAGTAGTTCTCTGTGGTCTAAGATATTAAGTAATGGATCTTGAACTCAAATAGATGTCCAGATCTTTTCAAAGTATTTGCACTTAAGTGATACACAATTCTTTACAAATTTAAAAATATGGTAGTTTCAGTCAATGATTTATTGGAAGTCTACTTGAGTCGGGTATTGTACCAGTCACAAAAACATAATAATGTCAGCTAGATTTAAATATTAACATTTTATTGGGCATTGTGTCTTTGTAGGAATGTGAAGATAAGGAAATAAATGTACTCTGAGCGTGGAATGAATTCTATTGAAATACATCTACACACACTCATGCACACATGTGTTTATATACAAATAATCTTTTTTTAAATGAAAGCATCCCATTTAGTTAACAGCCTGATATCGGCAGGTCAAAATAACAGCAAAACTTTCCAGGAAAAATCCATATAAAGCATTCCATCGACCTAAAATGCTGAATTAATGCTGCACCTGGTGTAATCTACAGCTGTTCAAAAGAGTCACCTGGTGAGGATAATTGAAGAACCACATAATAGCCATTCTGTGTGATCCTCTGTTGATTTAATCGTGATTCCTAAATAAGCTATGACTTCTAAAATAATGTTATCCTGAAGAAAATACATTAGTATTCTCTGACAACGAACACAGCTATCTAAAACCAACATATTTCTAGTAGGCTCAGAGTTACAATGTAATCACATGGTTTGCTACACTCCCTCTCTACTTAGAAGACTTTCTAGGGACAGTTATCCAATTTTACTTAATGGAAACATACCCAGGGGATGTGCTGAATTACAGGATCACACAGATAATCCTAGGCTAATAGAAACATTTTATATTACCAAAACCTAGCATTTAATATCTTTGTAGGGAATTTCCCTAAGGAACGGAGGACCAAACACGGCCCAGAGAGTTTCGGTAGTTATAGTCCAAAATTCTACATACAGATGCAGCAGCCTGAATGGAAAATTCATGTTGCTTTCAGAATAAGATCCAGAATCTGTAACTTCCCTACAAATGGAAATTTAGGAGCATAAAACCACCTTCTCTTCTGCTTTTAATAAAACTTTATGTTCTTTTCAGTTATTATGCTTTACCTACATCAGAGGGAACTTAAAACATCTGAGTCTTTTATATCACTATACCCAATGAGTTGACTCATTGTCTCAGTTTAGTGAAAGCACCCTAATAAGTCACAGCAAAGTACTTGATATAAAAACCACAAAAGAGAAGAAACTGTCACTCAGGGCATTTTAAATCATGAATCCAGTGAAGTGTCCCATGCCAGCACAGCAACTGTAAGCTATCTAAACCAATTCTTGTGCCTGCCTCCCTAGATATCATCAGAATAAGTGTATTAATTTTTATTCATAAGTATTTATGTTTCTCGGGCACTGTGGCATGTACTAGTGACAAAATCTAGTCTATAGTAAACTAGAGAAAGGAATCTCTACAGAAATAAAGATAATATAAGGAGAATCCAAGATGCAGAAAAATTGCAGTAAAAAGCCAGAGAGAGAAATAGGAACTTTTCAGAGGTTTAAAAAAAAAACTGATAAGACTTGATGAAAGTGTTCATATTTGAGCCAAACTATGGAAATAGTTTGAAGGGACTGAAAAGAAGGGAGAAGGATTGGAATGAAGAGAAAGCATGGGGAAGGAGAAGGTGAAAGATTGAAGATAACCAGAAAGGTTGAGTGGGGCTCAATTGAGTGATCCTTCAATATCCTGCTAACATCAAATAATAGATTATCCTCCATATTTGGGATAAAAACTGTTATTTGAAACATCAAAAACCATTATTAATTCTTGTGATCCAGCAAACATTTTCCAGATAGCAGGAGATGGCACTGAAGGTGCACTATCTAATCTCAGACATTTCTGTTCTTGAGAAAGCACACATGTAAAAACACTTATCATTCATTAGCCATCCAAAAGAGAGATCCAGTGTCAGCAGCAATATTTATGTCAGTAGATACAGCTCCATTTTCTTTGTATCATCTTGATATGTTATTTTGGTGTTTCACATAGGAGCAAACTGAGTTTATTATTCACAAGTTGCACTGTAATGCTTATCAGTTGTTTGCTATTGTTAACATTAATTGTACCCTAGAAATGGTATAATCCAGAAGTGAAAGACTAGCTATAAATTCAAGTTAACATGATAATAGATGCTGTGTCTTTTTATTATATTATACCCTTAATTATAGGAGACTGAACTTAGAGACTTGTCTAAACAGGGTTTTCACTGTCTCATCACTTTTTCATCACTCTGCTCACTCACAGGTGAATCCTTGGTCCCTCTCTGCTCTAATTATCAATTAAATGTGCTTAGTGCCTATTAAGTAAATAACATGGAGCGTGTCCAAAAGCAGACACTCGGTAAGTGTTTATTGAGTGGATGACTGAATAAATAAGTGTGTTAGGCACAAGGTAAAACAAAAGTCATACAATAGCCCTCCTCTAGGCAAGAATCTGACTACTGGAAATACCACTGGTTGTAATCCAAATCACCCAGAAACAGTTTCAAATGCCTCACAGTAAGTTATTAACAATATGGAAGAATGATATTGCTTACATATAGTTCGAGCCAATAATGGATAACCTCATGTCATGATTCAGAAAGCAAGAAGAGAATACCTCAGTGGGCCACTCACATAGATTACTGCTTAAAGTATCTGGGAATGAAGCAACTCAACACTTCTAAATTCTTTTCTACTGTGGTCACAGAAGTCAGACTCAATGCTAGTCATATTTGAAGGAAGATGGTCAGAATAATATCAATTTTAGCTACATTTATTTAAAATATTACAGCAAAACACTTCACCATTGCCAAATGAATGTACCCAATAAATACCAAGTACCCACTGCAGGCAAGGACCTGGGTGAATAGAAAGGTAGCTAGGACTACTGCTGATCCATTGGTTAAGAAATTACCAGATCTGCTTTCACATTGCCTTTTCCCTATCCTCTTATCCAATATAACCCACCTCAAAAAAATTCATGCTACATTTTTATTTTCCCTACATAGTCTACAGTTCTGAGAATAAAGAAATGATATCCTAGCACTTGAAGAGAGTTAAATGGAATCTGTCATTTTTTAAATGATGGAATGAATGTAGGTATTTTTTCTAAATAAAGTAAATAAACAAATGCCTCTTTGAATTTTCATGGCATACCATCCACATGCACCTTCACAACAGTTCTATAATTTGAATCATGATCCCATAAATCCTAGTTTCTTATGGAGGGAAGCTGATCCAACAATAGAGAAAATTATGTATGAGGTTTCTTCATTTGGGTTCCCACAAGGACTCTAAAGCAAGTGGTTTACATGGCAGATGCAAAGGATGCTGATAGAAAATGATATTGGAAAACGAACTGGCCAGTAAAAGGTGTGCTCTTAAGCTTGCTCCCACAGTGGACCCTGGAGTTTATTCCTCCAGGGGCTGAAAGCTGCTCCTGAAAGGTGTTAATTCCTCCATGGAACAGCTTTCTCCTCTCTGGAAAATAAAAAGCTTCTTAGATGCAGAAATGCAGGCGCTGAAGTTGGAAGCACCCCAGACCAGAACATATGGAAAAGTCTCAATAATGTGGGCAAGTCATTCAGAGTACCCATTACAGCAGGCCACACAGCGATCTGCAGCAAAATCAGAACTCTGCTTACAGTATCCCAAATTTCAACTCTTATGTTCTTTCCATTCTCCTCTATTCTGCCAAAATAGGATACTTTCTTAGAGTGACTGGACACCCTTTAAGATAATTCAAGGATACAAAAACCATTTTGTGCTAAAGAAAATAATGAACATAGATCTACCAAATAACAATAGCCAACAGTTCTTGAGATCTTGCTTTGTAGCCGAAACTATGACGAGTAGCTCCTGTGTCTCATCTTGCTTTCATTCTCAGCCCAATCCTATGAAGTAAAGAACTGCTATCCCCTCAAGACAGAGGAGGAAAACAAGCACAGAGAAGTTCTCCCAAGGCAGTCCAGCTGGCAAGTGGTGGTACTGAGATTCAACCCAGGCAGTTTCATCAGAGCCTACTGCCCTAACTATGATTCTCCATTGGCTCCATCTCTGATGATTCTGGAAGCGTGAGGTGGGTAATAAAATCAATCTACAGATTTGACGATAGGAAAATTATCCAAGAATTTTAAATGTTATTGCGTGGTATCAGTGACGTTCATTAAAAGAACACTACCAAATTCATGTGATCAAGACCCCTCCTACACAAACACTCTGTATACTGTTTTTTATTAAAAGTGCTCTCCATTATTTCAAATGTAGATATAAATAAACTATTGTATGTACTTTATAAAACATGCCAACACAAAAATGAAACATAAACAGACTTCGTGAAATAACAGCACCTTCACTGTCCACGTTCCAGCCTCTGGCTCCTTTACATTCACCACTTTGGCAGAGTTATAGATATTTAATAGCTCGTTCAGGCCAAATCCCTTTTTTACCAGCTTCCCTAAAAGACAAACATACAGGTAACAAGCATAAATCTTTCTTCAGTTCAATATATCGGCTAATTTAACATTACCTAAAGCTAAGAGTAAGATCAGACCTCAAACAACACATTTTTTACTAAAATATGTTGCCAAAATGAAAGGCACACCACTTCCAATGTATATAACCAGACAGACATCTGCATCTATAATTCAAAATGCTACTTTATTCATATCTAAAATATGCTCATACAAACAAAAATGTCTTTTTTCAAAATCAGAGAACAGGATGGTAAAACCGGTCCTATCTAGGGCATCAGTGGGAGGGGAAGGATGTAAGGAAAGGATGTAGGAGGGTGAAAATATTAGGTACTCACGGATAAAAATGGAAAAAATAAGATCTATTGAAATTATTCCAGGAATGGAGGGAGGGGGAACAGAGGAGAATGATGAAGGGGTGAATTCAACTATGACATATTACAAGAACTTTGGTAAATGTCACTATGTACTAGACCCTGGTACAACAATAATTTTTAAAAAGGTTTAAAAAAAGCCCTTAATTTCAGTGTTTCTAGTCATTGGACCTGAAGTAAATTATTCCTATTTGTTTTAATAACTTAATGGTAAAATGAAAGTAATAATTGACAAGCTGTAATCATATTTCTAAAGCCAGCCTAGGTAACAAATACTATGGCACCAAGAAGTTAAATGTAGTCACCAAAGACATTTTGATTAATTACATAGAAAGCAAAAACAGAAAACCAGAATAAAATAAAGGTCTTTTTGGAGATCACTGTAAGTATTACTGACATGAGAACCCTGGGCATATCTCTGTACAAAGTGCAAAACCTTAACCAATTTTCCATGAATCACAGGAGAAGGCTTTATTTATCTCACAGGAATAATCAAAACACATGGTGTAATAAGGTGCGTGGCACCATCCCCTCCTGACCTGAGATTTACCTAAAGTATCTCATAGTTGGAATCTAGAAAGAAAAGCAGACTTGGAATGGAGCCACAGTTCAAGAGTTATACACTCTTGGTAAAGACCAAGAATGTAAGAAGCAGTATGAACTCCTGTAGTTAAATAAACTAAGTTGTAAACAGTTTAGATTTGAATGAAAAGATTTGTAATTACAGTGTACTGAGTGACTTTTAAAGTAGCAGAAACCTAATCAAAGGTACAGGTACTTTTCATACCTGAACTATATAAAACACATCTTTCCTGGATAGCCTGAAGTTACTGCAGAGAAAGGCACCTCCAACAGACCAATCTACTGATGAGGCCAAACCTACAGAGGTCTTGAAAAAGAGGTGTTACTTGTTTGATAAATTTCAATGTGTTTGCCAGTGTGGAAACGGCTTCTGAAGACAATTTCATATGCTGTTTTCTTTTAGGAATTATTTTCTTCTAAGATAGAAACAAACAAAACTAGCCTCCTCCCCCTTTATAAAATATTCACAAATGCAGAAAAAAATTGCAGCATATATCAAAAGCTATGGCAGGAACAAAACTATTTTGTAAATACCAGTAGGTAAAAATATTTCTAAGTGCAAATGTTAAGAAAAATAGGCTTCTTTCCTTATTAGATTGCTTTTCAACATAAGTCTTATTAATTATCAGCCAGTAATTGAATGAGGCAAACAGTATAGTTATAAAATGCAATTAAGTGAGAAAGTAAATTAAATTAACACATCCCTCTACTAAAAATATAAATTGGGTATTTATTTATTTATTTCCATGCTAGTGATAGAATCCAGGACCTCATGCATGCTAGGTAAGCACTATACCATTGAGCTGCCTCCCTGATCCTAAATTTGATTTTTAACAGCTATCTTTAGTAAAATTAAACCTTATCAAAAAAATGATAATGAAAAATTAGTTGTTTTAGAAGGAATCTTCTATGATTCTTTTAAAAGTAATATAAAATGTTAAATTTTACAGTTAGTTACTGTGCAGTATCTTGTATATTAATTAAAATATAATTTCAGCTATAACTTAAATATTTTTTCACTTGGATGATTTAAGTACAATAACTTTACTAAATCTGATCTGTTTAAATATGAGCAGTATTAGCTTTTCAAATATCATGTTAATTCAACAATACTTAGGACTAGAGAACATTCTATGATTTAAATATCTCTATTGACTTCTGAATGTATAGAATTTATTCATAAAACTGGCATCAACTTTATATAACTAAGTATGCAAAAAATTCTTCCCCACCATGATTTTTGTACTTTATTATGTGACATTTGATCTATCTTACCTAAAGGATTGCGAATTTCAATCATTGGAGAAGGGCCACTCAGAGACACAGTGACCTCTTTGAGGCTAGGATCAAAAGGAATTCTCCAAGTATTTACAGCCTGTTCCAAATGATCTGTGGATAGGAGGTGAACTTTGGAGGCCTGCACTGCTTCTTCCACCCACTTTAACACCTATCAGAGAAAAAGAAAAGTGTGAGTGATAACAGAAAGCATTTATAGTTTATACCACGGCTTTTTCAGGGTCTGTGGTTAATCACATGACACAGGCACTGGTACAAGGATGAGGTTTATTTTGTCCTTAGCGAAGGCAGGACTTCCCCTACCTCTGGTTGTTGTAAAATCTGAATAAAACTTTGGTCTAACCTGTGTTCAAATTTCAAGTTTTCCATCTTGGAATAATATTAAAAATAAAATTTCACAGTCCAAAAACCAGTGAAGTGAAACATGCAGATATTATAGTTTTCTGTGTCTCAAGAACCTATTAAAATGAACCTATTAAAAAACAGAGATGAGACTGATAGCTTGTGTCAGGACCAGACAATGGATGGTCTATAAAGTCTGGCTCTGATATTTGGATTTCTTCATAAAGATCCAAATGAAAAATACTGAAATGCTTTAAGTAGAGGAAACATAAAAAGTGATATATGACAAAGAAAAACAGTGTTATCATAAATGAACCCAACACAAAGCCAGTATCTAATGCCCGACAAGTCAAATGGCGTGTCTTCAAATTTTAACCTTATATGATCTGCACTTTGTATTTGAAATAACACATGAATCACCTAAAGAAGCAGTTACCATTATTTTAAAAATGGGTTTTTAGTGATCTATCATGTTTGAACACAAAGACATGGACAGTATGCTCATCAGATATTTCCACACAGGAACAGAGCCACACGGACTGTAACTAATATGTGAGTACTTGTGGAACAATATAATCACTGTTGACATTTTCATCTTAATATATGGCAGATGATGCCTTACTCAAGAAAATGGACAGGATTGACTTAGGGTCTGAGAAAGCATTTGGGAGATTAAACTAGTAATAAATAAGTATAAAGATGATGTCTTGTACAGAATTCAAAAGAGCAAAGAGAAATTGGACAAATAGAACACATACAACATGGTCATAAATGATTCTCACTTGAAAAAGTGGGAAAAGTACCAGTAAGAATTGTATGGCATCTCAAGTTTAATACGGAAGTGCAGTAACATCAAATAGAAATGAAAGTGAAATCCATTTTATATGCATCCTCTGGAAATTTACTTATCTTTCCTTAGAATACAATGTACAGAGGTTATGATTCATTATTGGAAATCTACTCTAACTTCTATTAGCTCTACACATAAAAATCTCCAAGTCTTAAGTATTCTTAACAAAATGGAAGCCTTCCTAGTTTAGTTGTATGTTCCTAAAGCAAGGGTGCTCAAATATGATAGACTATAAGCAGAAGTTGGTTTACTTTTAATATTGTTTCCAATTCATCAACATTTATGAGCTTTCACAAAGAGATTATCACGTGTCATATTACTACTTGTTGGAAAAGACACAATACAGACTTCTGTCAGGGAGTCTCAAATCACTTTTTTAGCCACTCATAAGAAAAATCAAATTGAAAACAGATGCAAATCACTTTATGAGAATATACAGATACTACCAACATGTGAATAAAAGTAGATCAATGCAAGCTATACGATACCCCATAAGTGAGGTTTCCAGCTTCTCAACTTTGCCAGATATAAGGAAAGAATCTTTGACTGTCTAATAACAAGGAATGTTCTCATGGGATTGGAAATGATCTTCTATTAATTATAATGACAAAAAGAATAAAACTAGAATAAAGTGAGACCTTTGGATGGTGCATTTTTATCAACAAAAAATCTTTTTCAAACCACTGGGGAACTGTTTGTACTACATTAAAACTTTTAATGTAAAAATGGATCCCAGATGATTTTCAGCAGCTTATATGTACAAAGGGCCTTTGAGACCATAATCCAGATCCTTACTTTGACAGATGAGAAAACTGATATTTGAAGTGAGTTCCAATTTTTTTTAAAAAATCTAACCACAATGATTCTGGCTCAGTGGTTACATTTTTATTATAAGTCCCTTGTTTCTGAAGATGCTCTCATAGTTTAAAGATTTTATAGCCTATGCAATAACCAACACTTAAAAATAAGTTCACAAATCAACCTTGCAGTGGAAAGAGGACTTATTGTTTTGAAAGCACAAAACCAGCATCTATTATTATGTATGATGAAATACAGAAGTACAGTAGAGCAGGAATGGAAGTGAAACTAATTTTTGCATACGTCTTCAAGAACAGAGCTTGAAGAATTCCTTTGTTTGGGAGGTCATATCCTATGGGGTAAATTACATCCAAATGAATTTCCCCAGAACATTCTTTTTTCCTCTTGGTGAAAAGGGGGAAATACGGTGAAATGTTCAACATAATTTGCAATTGTGCATTTATTTGTGGTGTTGGCATTACTGTTTTTATTTATTGTCCACTTCCTTACTAAATTGTAAGTTCCATGAGGACAGAGATCATGGCTGATACAGTATGTGGAACATAGTAGAAGCCTAAGTAAACATGAGGAGGGAGGAATAAAAAGGAAAGAACAGAGCCAGCCACCAGGGGCTCAGGCCTGTAATACCAGCTACGTGGGAGGCTATTATCAGGAGAATTGTGGTTCAAAGTCAGCCTGGGCAAAATACCTCATGAGACCCCCCATCTCCTTAATAACCAGAGCAAAATGGACTGGAGGTGTAGCTCAAGCTGTAGAGCTTCTGCTTTACCAGTGTGAAGCCCTGAGTTCAAACTCCAGTCCTACTAGAAAGGGAGGGAGGGAAGAAGGGAGGGAAGAAGGGAGGGAGGGAGGGAGGGAGGAACAATTTTATGTCAGATATTTACCCTCAGAGTTAAAAGTAGGCTGGAAGGTAGTATTCGGGTCCTGTAACAAAGTCTGTGCTCAGCACTGAATTTTCAGCATTGAAATCCAATAAGGTTCAAATCTATATGTGTGTTCTTAAATCTGAGCATCATAATTTCCTTCTTCTTTGTGGAAGAGTAATACTCCACTGTGGAATTTTCTTAATCCATTCATCAGTTGTAGGGCATCTTGGCTGTTTCCATAGCCTGGCTATTGTGAATAATGCTGCAATTACCATGGGTATGCATGTAGCTCTATAGTACACTAACTTAAGCTCCTTCCATATATGCCCAGGAGTGGTATGGATTGAACAGTAGTTCTACTTTCAGTTTTATAAGGGATCGCTATACTGCTTTCCATAGTGGTTGTACTAATTTATACATTCCCACCAAGAGTGTGTAAGGGTTCTTGTTTCACCACACCCTCCCCAGGATTTGTTGTTGTTTGTGTTCTTGAAGATAGCCATTCTAACTGGGATGAGAAGAAATTTTAGTGTAATTTTGATTTGCATTTCTTTAATGGCCAGGGAAATTGAGCACTTCTTCATGTGTTTATTAGCCATTTGTACCTCTTCCTTTGAAAAATCCCTACTCAATTAATGCACCCATTTCTTCACAGGGTTGTTGGTTCTTTGGGAGTTTAGTTTTTTGAGTTCCCTGTGGATCCTGGTTATTAATTCCTTATCAGATGAGCAGCTGGCAAAGATTTTCTCCCATTCTGTAGACAATCTCTTAAGTATACTGACTGTTTCCTTTGCAGTGTGGAAGCTTTTTAGTTTGATACAAACCCATTTGTCCTTCCTTTCTCTCACTTGCTGGGAAATTGCCTATACGCTTCAGTGTATTCCCTACTCTTTCCCGTAGTTGTTTTAAAGTTTCAGGTTTTAAATTAAGGTCTTTGATCTACCGTGAGTTGATATTGGTGGAGGGTGAAAGACAGGGATCTGGTTTCAGTCTTCTACATGTGGATATCTAGTTTTTCCAGCAACATTTGTGGAAGAGGCTGTCTTTCTACACCATGTGTTTTGAACTCTTCTGTCAAAAATCAGTTGAGTGTAGCTGTGTAAATTCATACCTGGGTCTTCTGTGCATTGGTTTTTATGTCTGTTTTTTGTGACAATACCATGCTGTTCTTATTGTTATGACACTGTAGTATAGTTTGAAGTTGGGTATTGTGATGCCTCCAGCACTGGACTTTTTGCTCAGAATTGCTTTAGAGCTTAATTTTTTGAGCTTTCTATAGATTCTGGTTATTATTCCCTTATCAAATGAATAGCTGGCAAAGATTTTCTCCCATTTTGTAGGCTGTCTCTTAAGTATACTGACTGTTTCCTTTGCTTTGAAGAAGCTTTTTGGTTTAATGCAGTCTCATTTGCAGGTAAGTGGATGCAACTGGAGGACATCAGATTAAATGAAGTAATCCAGGTTCAGAAAGACACAGGTTGCTATGTTTTCTCTCGTATGTGGAAGACAGGTCCGAAAGATAAGCACACACACAAAAAGAAGCATGATAATATACACATTTTTATATAGAACATGTTTGTAATAGTGAAGCTACTCTATGAAATTGGGGAGAAAGGAAAGGAAAAGAGAACAACAGAGAGTGAACAACATTGAAATTCATTGCGTATGTGCAGACAGATTACATACAAATACACAGTGAAGGCTGTTGAGTAACAGGAGGGAAAGGGTGGGAGTAATAAAGCGAATTGAACTGACCAGAGTACAGTATATTCACGGCTGAGATACATGGAGAAACCCTTCTGAACACTGACTTTGGAATGAAAAATGAAAGACAGGACTATAAAATAGGCACTGTGAGGGGATGGGTACTTGTGGGGAGGAGGGAATGTAGGGAAAAAAGGACAGTGAATACTGTCAATGAACTTTATATACATACATGAAATAAGACAATGAAACCTTTTGCAATTGTTTTAAGTAAGGGAGAAATGGGAAAAAGAAATGGTGGGGTGAGCCTAAACAGTGTACAGTGTAAGCATATTAAGAAATGTCACAATGAATCCCTCTGTACAACTAATGTATGCTAATAAAAATGCTTTGAGAAAAAAAATCGAAGCATCATATTTTTCATGGCTAACTTGAGATTAAAAATGCAGAGGTAACATCTCTAAAATTGAGTCACTTTTTTGTCCAGTTTTGGTGGTACTGGGGTTTGCACTCAGGGCCTTGCGCTTGCTAGACAGGAGCTCAACTCTGTGAGCCACCTCCTCAGCCCAAGCCAATTTTCTTCTAAAGTACAAAAAGGCATGCTTCTCAGTAGTGCTGGATACAGATTTTTGAAGCTCAATGATGGACGAACCTCGGTTGCGTGTAAATGCACCCACCTAATAAGTGGAGCTTACCTTGGAGAAATGTTGTGCATTATTATTATAATATCAGCAAGCATGTTTCCAGTGAGGATTACCTGCCCGATCCTCCAAAGAACTTCACACTGA